TTCATCCCGGGGGGACACCATCCTCCACCAAGAAGCAGTGTCCCTTGGCTTGAATGAATCCCTCGCGGTGGAAGCATCCGAATCCAACTCGGTGTACCTGGAGTTGAATCAAACCGTTGAGCTGGCCAATTTGCACTTGACCACGAAAGACAGCGGTGCCATTCAATTGGTTACGGCTGGTGGCATCAACGTCGCGTCCTCGTTGGACATCAAGGCGAGCGACGGGGGTGTCGTAGCTGTCCAGGGAGAGCTCGCTGTCACCAGCGACACGATCAAGGTCACTGCCGCGGACAATGGAGCCATCTACGTGACCTCGACCACAGACCAAATTGTAACCGTGCGCCAAGTCGCTTCGGCCACGGACAAGGGTAATGTAAACTTGTACCCGCGAGGGGTTTGTAACACCAGCAAGGTCCGCGTCACTGAGCTCAGTCACGCCAACGTGGGGTCGATGGCGTGCCAGTCAGTGTCCGTGGAGGCCACCGAGGGTGGAGCTGCAGTGGTGCAGGCAGTGGCATCGCTCACGGCCAACGCGGTCGAGGGTGGTCGCGTCCAGTATTTCAACTCGACAGCAGGGTTAGGGCTCCAGTTCAAGTCCAGCAACGTATGGCCAGTGAGTCAGAATGAGTTCACCACGTTTGCATTTCGTCCTGTACCTAGCCAGGACGCATTGACGATCGACTTGCATGGATTTGGCTGGGGAGCGAGGTTCCAACCCCCGAATGTGGTTAGTTTTTTAGCCGTTCCCTCAACCGATGCGACGATGAGGTTCGCGGTGATGTGTGTGGTGTTGTTTCTGGCTTGCGTCTTCTGTCGACCTCCCAAAAGCAAAGAAAAGGAACCGCTCGCGAGCTCGAGCTACCCCCAATATCAATATTGTGACTATCAATTTGAGCCATGGCGCCACAGCTGATGAGCACGTAGATAGACTTCCTTGCGATAATAATATTTTTTGAAATTCTGAACATTCCTCTCATGCGTAGTATCTCGAACTTGCCCGTCAACGATTGATTCTGGGCTAGTACTGTACTACACGCCGCTAGCCAAATTTGGCCACAACTATGGAGGGGATCCTACCACCCAGGCAAGATTCACATTCGAGTGCATGTGCTTGCTGCCTACAGTGAATCGACCATTTGCACCTTGCTGATGTACACCCCTTGCAAACATACATGTAGCTTAATGTTACACAGTTCAAACCTGTTATTACTAATGTAAACTCTTAGAAATGCTTTCGACGAATGCTAGCCCACAGCCACGTGATGCCAATGAGTCGGAAGAGGACGTCCACACACAACAAGGCCACCACATTCACGACCATCAAGTTCTTGTTCAAGCCCAGGTTGGCTAGCACTTGGGGTCCATTTAGTGCTTGGCAGTGCTGGCCCAAGCTGCATGGAATGACCTCGACCGAGTTCCAAAACGCGCGGCTAAGCCCTCGAAAGCCGTACTTTAACGGCGACAGGTATTCGAGCCAGACAAAGCACACGGGAGTGGTGTTGGAGTTGATGAACAATCCGCCAAAGATCACAAGGGGGAGGGCTACGAGCACCCCGAGGATTTGGCCCACGTCCGGACATCGGGTGATGCACCCGACCATGTACCCCATGTCCACCGCCGCGCTGCACAGGAGCGACAAGTTCACGTAAAATATAAAGAAAACACCGGCGTCTCCGCCAAACCCGATCATAAAGTACACTAGCACAAGGAATACGAGTGGAAAGAAGAGCTGGAACACGAGCTCGCTCGAGTTTTTCGTAAGGTACCATATACCCACGCCTGGTACAGCCCGCCTTGGTATTCGCGGATCATAATAGGGAGCTCCATCGGCACGTTGGTGAATTCTGGCATGCCGTTTGCGATGAACTGGTTCACAGTCATAAAGAAGAGCGCCCTAGTGAAGCTCTGGATGCCATCTTGGTATTTCTTTAGTTGGAGGTAAATGAGCCCCACAACGGTGGAAATAAACAAGTTTTGGGCAACCCGGGCTTTGAAACTGAGTTTGTTGTGCACAAGACGGATGACGTTGCGTTTGCACAACAAAAGAAGTTGCCCGCGAGTCCCCAATCTACCGCTTTCAAACACTGCCACGTCAGTGTCCATGTTGTGATGTTCGATCGTTGGGTTCATTGCATTCCAATGACGCTGCCAAGCTTGCACTAGCACGTCCATCCGTGTCGCAGCGTCGGAATACGGATCCAACACGATGATCTGGCGCAAAAAGTAGTTGGTCGGGTTCATGTACGTCGGGTATTGTAGTCCCTGGGAGGCGAAATATGCGACAGCGTCACACGCCTTGCCGTTGTAGATGGTATGGCCGCCGCTGAGCAGATACAACTGGTCAAACAGCGTAAACAGCTCGGACGACGGCTGGTGGATCGTGGCTACAACTGTGCGACCCTCGCGCGCCAGCTTTTGCAGCTGCAGCACCACACTCTCGGCCATGAAGCTGTCGAGACCGCTAGTCGGTTCGTCCACAAACAAAAGCGATGGGTTGGTCAAAATCTCCGTGGCGAAGCTGAGCCGCTTGCGCTCGCCGCCGGACAGCCCCCGGACGTCTGTGACACCGCCGATCTGCGAGTCGCGACATTTGGTCAGCCCCAACTCATCGATGACATAGTCGACGCGGGCCTCCCGCTCCTCGGGGTTGAACGCTTTGCCCATGCGCAGCTCAGCTTGGAACATCAAGTGCTCCTTCACAGTGAGTGTCGCGTAGAACACGTCGTCTTGCATGACATAAGAGGCAATCGATTGGACTCGTCGCTCCAGTCGTGGCCGTTGATTGTGACCGACCCTGTGTACTGTGGATTGCGACCCGCGAGGATGTCAAAGAGGTACGTCATGCCAGCTCCGGACGGACCCATGATGATGATGAACTGGCCAGGCGATGCTCTGCCATCGACACCGCGAAGAATGGGCATGTCAATGACCGATTTAGAGCCGGCAGGATCTATGGCTTTGACGGACAAGGCAACGTTGGACCATTTCCAATGTCATCTTGGGTGTCGAGAGAACTGCATGATGGTTGGTGGTCGATTGAGGGGATCGAATCTCCACAAAGCACGAGGACTTGACCATAGTAAATTGAGTTGTGGAAGTGTTGGCGTTCTTGACGTGGCGCAGTGTGGGCGCGATTATGACTCGACAAATTTGACGATAGGAGGGGTGACAATTCATGCACGACTAATTGAAAGAGGAAACCCACTTTTTGTTGCTTTCAGAGCTAACGAACGAGTGTGGCGGCGACGAGTGTGGGGAAATTATAAATCCTCAAGATTCATAGAGTAGCGTTGCCGATAGTTCCGTCGAAGCGATTGCATTAGCTGGATGAAGTCATTTCGTGTCATCAGAGCGAGCGACGAAGATAATTCTGAACCCAATACTAAGAACGTCGTAACGTTACTGCAATGCACTTTGAAGTAACGTTATTGTGTTTATTCTAACAGTGTAAACTGGAATGACATGGAGAATGAATGAATCGACACATAAAGGTAAGTTTAACTTACAGTATCTTATGGTGATGCTTTTTATCCTAACAAATTAAATCTGTATTTTTGATTGAGTAATCCTGCTCAGCCGATCTTTAAAAGTTTGGAGACAGGTCACGTAAACCAAAACCATCAATTCCAGCTACGGTACTGTGGGGTTAAGTACATATATGTGGTTCGCGATACTGTAGCCAGGCACTGGTACCGAGGGAATACCGTAGCAACACAAGGGGTCCGGTGATTCGGAGGCTAGAGGGCTCTTGGTTCTTTGGAAAAGGAGATGATGCCGTAAGCAGCCGTGGAACTTTTGAGCGCAGACCTAAGCTTACTCTTGATTCTCAAGACCTCTTGACCAATGACGTCGATTCGTCCTTGTTTACTGCATGGTGAATCATACGAAGTATGTACTACTAACGTTAGTAGTACTACATACTTATTCGAAATACTACACCCCTGTCGTCCCAGTTTTTTTAGCATTTTTGCGAAACGCACACTTTTATTTTCGAAAAACACCATGAAAAAGTAGATGTACTACTTCTCAGTCGCTGCTGCATTGCTCTAGACTGCAACCCACCAAATCCAATTGCAAAATAAGCACTCTGCGAAAACATCCCCAACAAATCCTTTCATTCGTGATACAGCCAATATCACTTTGGCCAAGTAATCATTCAAACTCGTAATGTCATCGCTGCCAAAGTAATCAGCGTCGGCTGGTAATCAATCGTCGTCACACGTCTTCAACCTCCAGAGAGGTAACATGGGATTTCCAAGAATCTTCCAGTAGGTGAGTATGCCAACTGATACGATTTAGTCTATATTTAACTACATATAAAAGAGAATACAAACACACTGTTAAAAAAAGTAGTTTAATAGTGTTTGTTTCTGTGAAATTAGTATCTCACATTTCTGAATTTTCCGCAGAATCGAAGGTGAACACCCTGGAAGTCTGCATGTGGCAACTGCGACTTCCACGATGTTCAAGCGTTGAACGAGCTCATTCGTTCACTTGCTTCCTTGCGGAGCAACCAGCCATGGCCACCATCAACAAGCAAGCTGTGACGGAAGAGCAGCATTACATCGAGATCCCGACCCCCAAACTTGGCGCGACCATCCTCGTGGATGTGCCCAAGATGACACTGGAATGGAACAACGTGAACATGAGTGTCAAGATCAAGAACCAAGTGACCAAGCAGGTTGAAGAAAAGATCATCCTGCAAGACAACCACGGCAGCGCGTCGCCAGGTCAACTGGTCGTGCTCATGGGTCCGTCCGGCGCTGGCAAGAGCTCCATGCTCGACGTGATTGCCGGCCGCAACAAGGACTTCACCGGCTCCGTCACCGTGAACGGTCACAAGTGGAACAAAGCCATGAATCGATACGCATCCTATGTCATGCAAGACGACGTATTCTACGCGACACTCACTGTCAAGGAACACTTGATGTTCCAAGCTGAGCTCCGAATGGGCAAAGCGTTCAATGCTGAGGAGCGGGAGGCCCGCGTCGACTACGTCATCGACGAGCTCGGACTGACCAAATGTCGCGACTCGCAGATCGGCGGTGTCACAGACGTCCGGGGGCTGTCCGGCGGCGAGCGCAAGCGGCTCAGCTTCGCCACAGAGATCTTGACCAATCCATCGCTTTTGTTTGTGGACGAACCGACGAGCGGTCTCGACAGCTTCATGGCCGAGAGTGTGGTGCTGCAGCTGCAAAAGCTGGCGCGCGAGGGTCGTACGGTCGTGGCCACGATCCACCAGCCGTCGTCCGAGCTGTTTACGCTGTTTGACCAGTTGTATCTGCTCAGCGGCGGCCAGACCATCTACAACGGCAAGGCGTGTGACGCTGTCGCATATTTCGCCTCCCAGGGACTACAATGCCCGACGTACATGAACCCGACCGACTACTTTATGCGCCAGATCATCGTGTTGGATCCGCATTCCGACGCTGCGGCACGGGTGGACGCGCTCGTGCACGCGTGGAAGTCGCATGTTGCCTCGTCGACATCCAATGCCGAACGAACTGTCGTGTCTGACTCAGCGTCGGAAGAATACGATGCGAAAACGTACCAGAGTTCGCATTTGGGCGTCGTGGACCAACTGTCGTTGCTGTGCAAGCGCAATGTGACACGGCTCGTTCGCGACACACTCGGGTTTAAAGCCCGGGTAGGCCAAACGTTGTTTATAGCGGTCATCGTAGGGCTAATCTACTTGCAGCTGACCAAGGACCAGCGCGGCATCCAGTCGTTTGCAGGCGCCATGTTCTTCATTGTGATCAACCAGTTCTTTAGCAACGCTACGCCCGAGTTTGCCGCTGTGCCCACGGAACTGCCCATCATGATCCGAGAGTACAACGGTGGACTGTACCATGCGTGGGTATGGTACCTTGCGAAAAACGTGAGCGAGCTCGTGTTCCAGCTCTTCTTTCCACTCGTGTTCCTAGTGCCAGTGTACTTTATGGTCGGGTTTGGCGGCGACGCCGGAGTGTTCTTTACATTTTACCTCTTCCTTGTACTCGTATCGAGCGCTGCTGTGGGTCTCGGGTACATGGTCGGGTGCATCGCGCGCCACGCCCAGATTGCGCAGATCCTCGGTATTGTTATCATTTTGCCGCTGCTGATCTTTGGTGGCCTCTTCTTAAACGCGGACAACACACCCGTGTACTTTGCCTGGCTCGAGTACATCTCCCCCCTCAAGTACGGCTACCGCGGCATCAGCCGGGCGTTCTGGAACTCGGTTCAAGTCCTTCCGTGCGACCCGTCGCGCCCGTGCCTAGCTACGTCCGGCGCCCAAGTACTTGCCAACATGGCCTTGGACAAGGACTCGATGGCCGTGGACGTCCTGGCGCTCGTCGCCATCAACTTGATGTTTCGCACCATTGGCGTCGTTTGGCTCTGGTTCAACATCCGCCAAAAACATTAGATATAGGCGGCGGCACCAGATTTCAAGTTTCACTGTGTATTGTTAACGCGATTATTTTCGATAAATTGTATTGTGCATTTCACCCAAATTTGGACTTGTGAGTCATTTCGCCAATCCATTTCATCAAATTTACAGGGTCAAACGTTTCGATTAACAGAAATTCGACATGATTTGATTTGATTGGCTCAGGCTGTTCTTTAATCGATTCGTTTCGAATCGATTTGACAATAATGGCTGGGCCAATCTGACGGGCCAAAGTATTCTGATTGTTTATTGGCTAAAACTTTCTCGTGGGTGCACTTTGATTCGCCAGGACGACCTCCAATACAGTACTGCCACTCACTCATTCGGAGTCGTCGAAGGTTACCTCGTTATTTCAGACAGCAGATCCGCCGTGCATTGGGCTCCACTTGATATATGCACAAGCAACGTCGTCGAGAGGAGCCCAACGCACGGCGGATGTGCAATCAAGCGACGATAGACTGATGTACGGTAGTAAATGAATTCATGTCTGTGTTATGATAACACATACACGTGCAAGGACAGCATCGATGCAGTAGGGTGCAACAGGTACTTACCACGTGTTGTACAAGACGTCGGCGCTCGGTGGGGTGGCGCAGTGCTGGCTGCTCCATCCTAAATGAAGTTTCCAAAGATGTAAGCGCGCGAAAACGAAACCGTCAATGGTCGAAATATATCGACGATGGGTGAAATATATTGACGAAAACTGATATTAAACCATAGTTAGTTGAATTCTACCGCTGCTTTGGGGAAATATATACTTCGAAGTACGTATACTACGTACTGTACAAATTCGTTGTACGTGAAGTTTGAGGTCGTCACGAAATATTTAACAAATCGCGGTGGTCGAAATATATCAATGTGGACCACTGCAAGCGAAGCGAAATATAGTGAAAAAGCTGAAATTAACCGCAAAAAGGTGTACTTCGTAGTTCTGGTACTAGGTACTGTAGTAGTTCTGTATATTGTCCAATGCGTTTCAATTTGGACTTTCCAGTTTAGGAAGTGTTCGAAGTCATAGATCAAACCAGGAGAAACATGCATCGGTGGCGGCAATCCAAGTTGTCACTTGTCGGGATTGCGTAGTTCATGGTGTCCAACATGTCGACAAATGGCAAGCGTCACCCAGGGTGTACGTACCATACAGTGTAGATATACCACCAATACATGTCCTGTATGGTTTTTTTTTTTTTGGCGAAATATATTGACGAAAGCTGAACAATAGCTGATCGAATTTTACCGCTGGCTTGGGGAAATACTGTATAAGCGTGAAGTTGGAGGTCACTACGAAATTAACTGGAGGTCGTCGAAATATATCGGTGGTTTCGTGAAATTATTACTATAAAATTGCTACCAGTATAACCGTGAAACCACATATTAATAGCTATACCAAAAGTAAAAAAATAAACAACCAAAAGAAATCATAAAAGGTCAAGGACAAGAATCTAAATAGTAAAAAAAAAGCTGAAATTAACCACAACAAGACGCGGTTTATACCCAACCAACAAGAGCGTGTCGGGTTGAACAATGGTGATGGACCATCCAGCGCTGTTATTTCGGGCAGCGGCACTTGAAACGGTCGCCAGTTTCCAAGTCGACAAACTAAGACGAACCAAACTCACAATCACACACAGAGATGCGGACCCTTGTCGAGGTGGCAGTCCTGGCGAGCCGCGTGCTGTCGATGGTGTCGGCGATCTTTGTCTTGTACTGCGAAATCATGGGCTCACATGCCAACCAAGCCATTCTTGTGGGGGTGTCGCTCCACACCAACATACCGACCGACTACAATAGTCCGTTTTCACCAGCTTTCCTACCGACCATTTTGACAGATCCAGACACTGTGCGACACACGCTCGAGTCCATTTGCCACTCGGCCAGTCATGACCCTTGCATTGCATACTTGGACACGACCGAAGACGGTCGCGTCGATTTGCAAGCCGCGTTTTGCAACGAAACGTCCACCGCCGACTACCTCTACGGCCCAGCGTACCTCCTTCCGGTCCTCACCAGTGTGTTAGCTGATTCTGTCTACCACCTGTCCGTGCCAGACTTGTGGGCGTTTGTCGACTGCAGCTACTTTGGCCGCATTTCTAGTGACACGTCGACGGTCAAAGTAACCCTGTTGGACAAACGCATGCAAAACATCACCACGCTGTTCCTTCAAACGGTGAGCCTCGAGCGGCCGTGGAAGCGGCGGGCGTCCAGCGGCGGCGCCGCAACCTTCACCACAACCCCACTCTCGTCCCTGAAAGTGGTCGATGGCGTCGTCCATAGCACAGAGCGTGCCACGTATCAAGTGGCCATTGGCTGGGACTTTCCCTACGACGTCTCTGAGCCATTCGTACCCGTTGTGCTCACCGCCTTGATTCCCCCCAGCGGGCGATGGCACGCGAATGTTGCCGCCACAGACGAGCCGCTGTCATTTTCTGGTAGCATGGGCATCTATCGAAAATACCCCGACGTGCAAGCTAGCGTCGACTATTACTACTGGGACCTCCCCTCCGATCCGATGACGTTTATGTCGACCATCAAATTTCCCAGCATCCACGTGATGCGAGATGGATGGGGGTACTACCGGTATTTCATCGGGTTTGGCATTGGGTTCAACCTGGCCCACACGATACTCGTGGCTTGCATTATCACGGTCAACATCTATAGGCGCGATGGCATTCTGTGGATTCCAGACGTATATCCGTCGATCCAGCGAAGGGTGGTCCTGCGCACGGTGCTGTGGCTATCGACGTGCTATATGACTGATTGGTGGTACCCGTTTCAAACAGCCATGAATCAAGGTTCGGTGCGTCGTAAGCTCGAGTTTGCCTTGTACTTGCCCGAATTAGTGCGATCGGACTGCCTCATGTTGACGTTGGCGGTGGTGTATGTCGCCGCCGCCGTCTGCCGCGTCCGCGTGCAGCTGTTTGTGGTCGTGGGGGTCTACTTGTGCTGCTTTGCGCACCGTATCGCATTAGTCGAGATGTGCGGGGTGTACATTGATGACGCGAACGCGTACCTCCATCACTCGTTTTCTGACAACATTTGCCCGGGCAATCCCGGCGGCATGGACCTGTGGATCATGCACGAAAACAAACAGACCAATTACTGGCTTCTCGTCACCGAAGGCATGTGGACTGTCGTGGCGATGGGGACCGGCGTCGGGTATGTGCTGGGTACGAAACTGTGGCAGGTGTGGCGTCCCGTGCAGACCACGGCGTCATCGACTGGTCTGGGGGACTGGATACGCCGTCGAAGAAGCGCCAAAGTAGGGTCCATGGTGATTGTGGGACCTCTAACCGCAAGGGGGGCCTCTGTGGAGTGTGCCTACGGTGAGGATTCGTCAACCTCCCCAAAAACGCACTGGACTCTGCGGTCTGCGCTGTACGACGGGGTGACGGCGGCCGACGCTGGTGTGAACACCCACTTTGAACGCAGCGCGGGCCGAGTTGCAGCGGACTTTGTCGGTTTTGCCGCGTCGTCCATGGACTACGCTGCCACGTCATCCAGTCGAACTGTGCATGTGTCCGAATCGGGCGTGTGGCTGCTGGGGTTTGTAGTCGTGGACGATCGGTGGGTGGTCAGCATCAACGACGTTTTGTTGTTGGTGGTGAATGTGCTAAACCGGCGACACATTCGACGTGTGTATGGGTTTCCATTGAATGGCAACGAAGTGGCCCCTCGGCGGATGGAGGTGGACGTGTCAACACTTACGCCTCGAACCGTGTGGAATCTGTCGCTCAAAGCCATGAAGTAGTAGAGGGCCCCCTTGCATTGGTTTGGGGGGATGACGTTTGTCCAGGATAGTAGCTGGTAAATGAACAAGCACGACTGACCTACTACAGTGGCAGTATGTGTGACATCGCTGCAAGCACTAGCACCTTCGATATTAACAACACCAGAACCAATCACATGACGGGTGGATCTCAACAAGTAGAATCATTTCTCCAACTTAAATCATTATCTCTCGTCGCATCCACAAGTTTCTAGTTCAACGTCCGATTGGGTGCAGGGCTGCGCACGCCGGCGCAACTACTCCCAGCTGTCGATCGACAGACAACTCGTGCGTTAGCTTCATGGTCGATGATATGGATGTGACGTTGGACAATGGTGTGTCGGGGAGCCCAAAGTTGCAGCGATGGCCGACTTGGCTTCAGGCCAGCCGCGTTCCGCTGTCGAGATACCTTTGCGACGAGGAAGGACAACCACTGGCATGGCTCACCTTGAGTGTGAAGTTTGCGGTTCTGATCGCACAGATTCGCCCAAGTTTAGACGACGATCTGCCAACGTCCATCGTGGGTCCAATTCTTCTCGCATTGACATACGACATTGCATCGCCGGAACCGGAACATGTGCAGTCATCGCTAGATGACTCGTGAAAACGAATGCAGTAGGATTATTAGTACATACTAGTACGTATATGAGGTTCAAAGTACACTGACACACAAACTGTAAACACCAGATCCAACTACTATGACTCATGAACATACACAAATGTAACGTTAATACAGGGGGGTGTCTAACGTTAGGTCAAATCATACGTCACTACTATTGTTCCTAAATGGCGTCTCTCAGGTCGGTAGCCGCCGCGGGTGGCCGTGGCACTTCCAAGCGTCGCTCGAGGGGGAGGCACGCGCTTGGAGTAAACATGTGGCGAGTGGTTGCAACCGCGCTCGAGGACTTGGGCGGTGATCGCAGCAGGAACATGATGTTTCATGCATAGTTGTAAAATCCACTTTCTGGAAAAATGGATATTATACGTATTTGGTTCCGTACCACGATGCATGATTGGTAGAAAATAATCACTCTGAATCACGTGGCTCGGAACTGTTTTCAGCCTATCGATATTTCCACTCTTTTAATTCATTTTCCGTCAACACTAATACGAATTTCGACATGCTTTTAAATTCTACGAACTGCATTAATTCTCCTCTTTAAGAAACACTATTATAATAGCAATTTGGAGTAAATGAACCCCTCCATCGAAGGTCCCAAAAAGTGTCACGGAACTGCGCCCATACGTATAGGTTTAACAGTTTATACATAGAAACCACGTAGTAGTTTATATTTCAAGATTAAACTCTTACTCAGAGTTTGTATACTCGTCGTCGAGATTGTTTGTCTTGATGTGCATACAGTAAGTACATCAGCTTTGTCAAGCTGACCGTTGTAAATACCACCACCACCGCGCCTTCGGCGACGAATGCGTCGTCCAACGAAGCCAACACCCCAGCTGCTGCAGCCAATTCGTCCTCTAGCTAACGCCACGCAGTTGCGTTGGTCTGCCTTGCCGCTGCTTTTGCGTCCCGCATATTGGCGGTGAGTGACCGGCCCTTAAGCAATGCGTCAGATTTGGTGTCAATAATCTGATTAATGTACTACTAGTAGTATGCAATGATGCTTCATGCATCTTTATTCCTCCATATTTTACTCGTATAAAAAGGCTAATGAAGTTGAAATTAATCATACTCATTTTCCTATTATGTCTCCGTCGACCACCAACCTCCTTTCAGACTCATTGCCAAGCGCAATACAGTATGCATCTTTCTGATGGAGGCTGCGGGAAATGGCGAAAATGGCGAACGTAACGTTAGCCATCTCGGCGACATAAGCGAGGATGAATGTATGTCACTACGAACGAGAACTAAAAAAATAGGGGAGGGAAAATATCTCAGTGGTGAGCATCGGTTGTTAACTCAAAGGTCGCGGGTTCGATCCCCGGCTTCCCCGGATTATTTCCGCAAGGTTTTATCCGTCCCCTCTCCGACGAGGAGCGAGCGGCTGCGCGTCGTCTGTTGCAATAACGTCCATCGTGGCATGTCCAAAACGTGGAACAGCTCCATCAACATCGACTCGAAGCGGGTTGACCCTCCAGAGCCTACTCAGCGCGACCAGCAGGGCCTTTTGCGCGTGGGGGAGCAACAAGCTTGTGGCTTGCGACTGGCGTCCCTGCGTTGTGTGGCGGTTTTTCAGACGACTGTGATTTGGAATTCATTCGTCCACCCACGTGAAGTTGTTGTCGTGCAACCCTAGGTCGAGCGACACTTGGCAGACCCCACTTAATTATACACATGTATACTACCTGGAACGGGAGCTCGAATATTCACTCCAAGGTCCGTCCTTGTTTGTTGGTCGAGACCCGGCAGCGTTGTGGTGACCGACCTCGCCTCGCGACAGAGGCGCCACTTTAGGGACACGTATGGAAATCTTTTATCCAAGAATCCTTGTATAAGACATATTGCCAAAACTCATATACGATTCGTCGTGTGTGCATGTATTGGGGCGACAATCACGACAATCTTCTTGCTGGTAGCTATAGGAGCTTGTTATACCGGTAGTGTGTCAGTGTACAGTACTTTGAACCTCACAAAATATGCACCACGAAATGTTTTCCATTTGTTTTCAACGAGGGAGGGAAATAGCTCAGTGGTAGACCATCGGTTTCTTAAGTTAAAGGTCGTGGGTTCGATCCCCGGCTTCCTCGGATTATTTCCGCAAGGATTTATCCGTCCCTCCACCTGGGGAATCCAGATAACAAGGTAACAAGGAAGATGAGGAACGAACTTCGAAGAAGATCGGTCGAAGCACGAGGTACAAGCGTTGGGCGAAGTAAAAACCGAAGTTTACGCACGGCCCCTGGTCGTGCAGGCGCGTTACAATTGGCGAAATAATTCCATAACATGTGGTTCTACCCTCCCGGAGGAATGTCTTCAAAAAATGATAATGCAAACTCAAGTAATCATCTACAGATGACGACTACCTGTTTTGTGGCCTGCTTCTTCTTGGCTTTCGGCCACGGGACCTTCGTCAAGGTAGCAAGTATAACTGACATTAGTGAGGTTAAACACGCCACGAGGCGCCTACTGACTACCCTTCACTAAAGTACTCAGTACCTCCACTAACGTATCGGAACCTTTGACACGGCACACACACAGAGTGTGCTCTTTTGAAATGAGTCAAACTGACGCGCGACCCAATTGCTCTACACACTACAGAACACTTCCCATCCTACGGGAATTCCAGTGTCTTGATGAGGGCAGCCACGGCAGGGTCTTCCTTGTTGGCCGCCGTCCACTTGCGAAATACGACTAGAATGTCGTCCAGCAAATTCGCCGGAGGTTCCCAGGACGATTCTTCATCGTCAAGTCCGAGTCGCTTCACCAAAACTTGATGCTGGCCATGCATGCATCGCGCTTCGTCCAGGCACTCCACGTGAAATCCGCCATCGACAAACGCGATCTGCGCCTGAAGGTCATCGGTCACCTCTCTACCATCTTCTTGGTACATCTTCAGTCGGCACGCATGGTGGACCTTGATTTCATATGGTGGCACCATCATATGGCCTGTGATTACTCTGGTCACTTGGCAGGGTCTGCGCCAATCCAGGGCCATCTTTGTCGGACGTTTGACGACAGTTCCGACGAGCACAAAATCGCTGACCGAAAAACCTGTAAACTTGACTTCGTATTTTCGGTCGCAGCGTCCGCGCACTTGCTGACGCAAGTTGTCGCCTCGCACCGCCACGTTGTGGTGTATTTCTTCGAGCGCTACTTGGACGTCCGTCACATGTTTGTGACGGGTAGCGCCAAGCCAGTCCGCCGCGAAACTTCCTTGGACGTCGGGTGGACAAATTCTGCCGGCGTGGTCGTACGCCCGGGTGGTTTCTGTCTGTTTACGGATCACCGCAACCAGTGGGTCGTTTTCAGGCGCGAGAAGGAGCCCTATGTCGTGTTCGAGTCGTGCAAGAGGCATCTACAACACCCGCAACTCAAACGATTGGGCGCTTGCAAACAAGCACAGGTATCGTTCCACGCTGGCAGCATTGGCCGTCTGGTATCCCCAATCCTCGCGAGTCTCATCGAACTCGCGCACCACCGTCAAATGGCGCGTAACGTCGCGCACACACCCCAAGTTCACGCCCATAGCGTTGGGATGTCCCCCATCGCCTGAAGGTGTCCCAGTCACACCTTCGCTGGTCACCTTCACCGCTGCTTCCGCAGCATCCTTGGCTGCATCGTCCGCCGCCTTCGCCTCAGCCGCTGCGATTGCTTTGGCCTCTTCGGCGCGCCTTGCCTTCGCCTTCACCTCTTCGGCCGCTCTTGCCTTCTTGGCGGCCTCCTCCCGTGCCAAGTGCTGCTCCAGCAGCTTTTGCACGCCTCGGTGCGAACTGTTTGCACGGCGCTTTTCACCAAGTCGGCAGCCGCTTGCTGCTCCAGCTGTCCAAGCCGTTCGCGCTTCAAGGCCGACTTGGCCTCCCAGTCAGCCTTGCGGTGTGCTACTCGGCCGCGTCCTCGATCGGTGCCACTCCGCCGCCGTCATTTGACTCGGCTGTGAGGTCCACTACCTCCACTTGCTGCTCCGGTGCTTCGGCCTCTTCGATGCTGTCGTCGGCATCCTCGGCGATCTCGTTCGCCTTGCGCTTCTTGCCTTCGTCTGCCATCTCAATCTCAACTGCCACGCCACAGTTCCCTCTCATTTTGTTCACGTGATGGTGGCACGTTCTGTCTTAAGTAGGGCAGGGTGTAACCGACTCTATCCGGATTATTTACAGTTTTGACAACCCCACCGGGTGACTGTAAAATACAGGAAACTGTAAAATTTTACCGCGAGACGGCAAATCGGCCAGATTTACAGTCGCGACTGTAAAATACTGTTTTGACGAATTAGCCAATAACATGCTATCAATGGATAATTTTGTCCAATCATGTGCATTATGGAGTCAACAATCAGTAGGTTCAGAAATGGAATCAGCCAAGGCCGTCCGTGGCTCCAACTTAACGAGTCCAAGGGTAGTACTCATCACGCATCACCACATCACCACACCGTCCATGATTCGTTGAACACTGGTGAACTTGCCACGTAATGCACCAAACATACCAAAAACTTATCCGAAAGAAACATAACGTTACAGCACCAGTACATACCAGCGTCATGTCTTGGATGTCTCCAACGAGCTTCTGCTCTGGGTGATAACGGCTCTGCCGCTACCCTCCAAACGCGAACCCAGCTTGCAGCTGTCACGCATGCCGTTGCGGCTCCTGCACCACCACCTCAAGCGATTACGCAAGCCGATGGCTCAGTTCATGTTATGAACGCTTTCACTATCCCGAGCTATGCTCACCGTGATTGTATCAATCACACCGGCAAGTCCTGCTTCTACTGCGGCGTTACCAATCACACGCTTCCTGCGTGCCCCACCCTCAAGTCGGACTATGCCCGCAACACTATGCGTCCTGTTTTTGACCGCGCCGTCTTTGACAAACATGGCTCTGCCTCCCAAAAGAAGCGCAAACGCGATTATGTCGCTTCGTCGCGTCCTATCCAACGTCCTCGTGATGACCGCGATGATCGCGATGGCCCTAGTGGCAACCAGGGCTGTAATAGCCGCCATGGATGGGGACCAAGTTCCTCTAGTGGTCCTGGAAATGGCGGGTGGAACAACAATCGTGGCAACAACCGTGACAAAAATCGCGACCGCGATCGCAGCCGTGATCGACAACGCGACCAAGGCTACGGCCGCACTCATGGTCTTTATGACCAGGCTGGCACTGCTGCTCGTACAGCCGCTCGTCCATTTATCCATGAAGGCAATCGCCTCAATGGCTTTGCCAACACCCACATCTTATCCCACCACTTTGTGCCTCCCTCCACTCTCAACCGGGTCCTCCAGCGCCCCAACCCACCATCGGTTTTGCCAAAGGTGTTCCAACCGGGCTCTGCCCCACTTTGTGATGTTTTTGCATCTCCACCCCATGAACCTCCGCTTATTGCGGCTACTACCCTCGCTTCCATCACTGACGCACCGGGAGAGCTCCCCGATTACTTCCCATCTCCTGTGGATGCCGGCGATTTAGACTTCGCTGAAGTCCCTTCTGCCGAGGTACTTATTACCGAGTGTTTGCCCCTCTACCCACCACGACCATTGTTCCTAATTCCTGCGAGCCCAACCAAAGTGGATCTTCCACTGTTCCCACCCAGTGCCTTCTCGGCCACTCGCAGTGATATTATCACAGCTGCGTCGGAAACACCGATCAAGGTGGTTCTCCAACTGCCCCCAAGATGTGTGGACGGTGTCCGTCCCCATCCCCCATTCCAAGTTGTTGGTGGACAAGGCATTTTTGCCCTTCATGCGGACCTACACTACTGTGAAAGCGACCCCGGTGATCCGCCTCTACCTATGTCGGTGACTTATCGTCCAAATGACTTTCCCGCTCTGCGCGAACATTGGATTGTTGACTTCGGCGCCTCTGCCTCATGCACCCCCAACCGAGATTATTTCTCCAATTATGTTCCTTGCGCACTGTCTCTTACAGTCGGGAACGGCGCCCAACTCCCAGTCCTTGGCTATGGCCCTCGTTCATTGGCCGTGGATATGTCGTCCCGTGACCAAGCCAACAATATTCGTCCATGCGCTCTGCGCCTCACCTTTGGATTACATTGCCCTGAACTACAGTTCAACTTGTTCTCGGTTCGCCAAGCGACCGATGAAGGCATCTCCGTCCGTTTTAGGGCTCGCGACATGTGCGAAATTACCACCTCTCTTGGTGATGTGCTTCGTGCACCTAACAACGCCATGGGTTTATACTCCTTTCCCTGCCAGCCCAAATGCGAGCCCTCAACCGATCCGCACCGTGGCGAGTATATCCACCCGGGCCAAATGGCCATGCTTACTGGCATGATGGCCACCTTTGAGACCGTTCTGTGGAAATTCTTCTCGACCTACAGTGGATTTTCCACTTTTAACGATCAATTGCACATGTTTGCATATTCGTCTGTGTTGCGCTATGCGCCAATTATTCAACGACCATCTATGGTCCTCGATTACTCCCGCTTTATGTCGACCTACCCCATGCGTTTTCGCAAAGATCTCTATGAGACCTACAAACTATTTCGTACGGACGCCATGTCCATTTTTAAACATGATGTATATGAGCTGCGCCACTCATCACCCATGGACATCGGCACCCTTCAAAGCGACAACGCGAAAGAGTACGAGAAACTCAGGCGCATCATAACGCCCAAGTACAACACTCGGGTGGCATTCTCCAACGCCTACTCCCCCCAACAAAACGCTGTTGCCGAACGCCGTATCGGCATTGTTGTGCAAACGATGCGAGCTATGCTCATTGAAGGGGTTCTGCCCAAGTTCCTATGGGCTCTTGCCCTTGATTATGCCTCATGGCTTATCAACATCTCTCCTTCGGCATCCAACAAAGGAGTTTCACCCTACCACATTGTCTTTAAACGACACCCATCTTTGGGTCACATCAAAACCTTTGGTTGCACCGCGTTTGTGCACATCAACGTGACGCGCAATCATCCAAGCTCGATCCCCGTGCCGTCAAGGCCATGTTTGTGGGTCTCCCACACGATCGCAAGGGTTATACATACATACCCTCATGCATCTGCACTCTAATTTATTGATTTATTCTCGAGACGTCACCTTCTGGGAGTCCGAATTTGGTCACTTGACACCTACCACAACCACATGCACCATGCGCTCGTGCTTGCGCCATCCTTACCACCTTCGAGCTCTGCTCCTACTTTTGCTCCTATGGAACCATTGTTCGTCTATGCTTTGCTTGCCGACCGTGCAAACAACAACGACCCCAAAGACTGGCGTGATGCCATGTCCCGCCCCGACCGTGACAAATGGCTTCTAGCCGCCAAGTCCGAATACGAGTCTTTACTCTCTAGCGGCACTTAACGTGCTCGTCAAACGTCGTCATGATGAAACAGTTCTACCGTGTCGCTGGGTCTTTCGACTCAAAGCCGATGGCACTTACAAGGCCCGACTTGTCGTCAAAGGGTTCATACAACAAAAAGACTACACGGACATTTTTGCTCCTGTTCAAATCAAATACGACCTGTAAAATATTATTACTGCATATATATAATATTGCTCTATATATCAATAATTTTGTTTCATGGAAGGCGTAAAGTTCCCATACTGAATACAAGGTTAAATTTCGGCAAATCACCGACCGCCTGTTTGAGCGCCTAATTTAGCCAAGACAAACAAGACGCCAGCGGTTTTCATCGTGGCTGGCAGGCCGGTAAACGCTGTCACAGGTGCAATTCATCCTAGCCGGTCCACCGGCTGATGGTTGAGGACACCTTGAACGAGGGGCAACACATGCGGCCATTCGTCCGCATTCAGCTTCATTTCGCTGAGCAGCGCCTTCACGGCGCGCAGCACTAGTCGGTTGACTACTTCTACAGTCCCGTTCGCCCATTTGTCAACACAGCTGAACGTGGTAAACCACGCCATCAGGCACTGAGCGGTCCGGCGGCGTCAGCGGACTCTCCCACGAACAGCTGCACAAAGCCACTCATGTCGTCCTTCACGACAAGCACTTGTTTTTGGCCAGACTTGGCCATGGGCATCGACAACTAGTCGAAATGGATGAGCTCGTTCGGCTTCTCCGTGTGAAGTGCCGAACCCAATGGACGGGGAACCATCTCTCCGTCAATGCACAGGTAGTGCAAACAGGCCCGCACGAACGCTTCGACGTCCATGGAAAGCGTCTTCCACACAAACTTGTCGGACACCAACTTGGTCGTCGCTGCGATGCGACTGTGACCGCTGGCTCCTTGGTGAGCGATCACACAGATCCTCTGCTGTAGGTCAACAGCACCGTCTGGGATCCAGCGTCCCTCTGGGTCCACGTAAAAATGGGAGTCTTCGTCCCAATCCACGCAGTTTGGGGGGGTCCCTCCCCGTTCCATGGTTGAACGTTGGATGCCGCTGATCGTAGCGGCTGTCGGTCACTCGAAATCCACTTGTTGCATAGGGGCGATACCACATGGATCAACTTGCGAATAGTCGCAACTGGTTGATCCGTCGGAGCCGAACCCCATCACCTCAGGAGGTCGCCCCATACATGCGGAGGATAAAATATTGCCACATAAGAATTGCTGAGGACCACATAGGAATTGCTGAGAGCCACATAAGAATTGCTGAATCGCACATAGTTTCTGCTGATGGACACATGAGATTTGCTGAATTGAAAATAGAGTATGTTACACAGCGAGATCCACTTCGCAGACAGTGCGTTATGAGAATTTCTGGACACGTGTGACTATTAGCAATGTGATTGGTTAATTAAACGCACATATGAAGGAAATCACGAAATACCTTAAACTTATCGTCGGCCCTATGACCAACCACCGATTGATGGCATGAAGCGGACGCGAATCAGGATGTAGTGTATATATTTACTGCGACTAGCTATACGTATACATGGGACTAAACCTCGAACGATTGCTTCAGGCCTCGTGGCCTGGAGCAGCCGTGTGAACTGTACTGCATGCTACCAGACTCCCACAGCAACCAGTCTATGCCACAAGCCGCCAAAGTTCCACGTATATCGTGCTTCGTGCTGCTTCTGTAAGACATTTTCTATAGTCGTGATTTATGTAATGCCTAGATATAGAATG